TCGGCCCCGCGCCGGTGCCGCGGGGGCAGTCGCCAGTCCCGGGGCTCCTGCCAGGCACCCCCAGCTGGGAGCCCAAGGGAGAAAAACGCCTTTTTCTCTCCCAAAACAACGCGGTGCCGGAGCCTGACGCCTGGCTGGAGCTTTGGGGATGGCCGGGAGTTAATTCTGGCGTTTTGCTGGTGTGAGCAGCGGGGCCGGAGCAGAGGGGGGTACCCGGGGTGGCAGAGCGGGCCCTGGGTGAGGACACAAACCCGGCGGGTGCCGGGCAATCTGCACCTCCCCGGCGACAAACAACCATCTCCAGAGCAAACCGAGTATTCGAACACACAAACTGTCCAGGGAATGTGAATTGATGTCCGATATTTGGATAACGCATGGAGAAATAACTAGGTCTTACAAAAAAAAAAAAAAAAAAAGGAGGAGGGGGTTATACACGTCTCAGAAACAAGCATTTTTGATTAACTATTGTACGTGCCTGTCATGGAATACTTCTTCCTCCTGCTGCTTTTTGTGTGCGTGCAGGTGCTAGGTTTTTATTCTAAACGCAGTTCATCTTACCAGAGCAGTTTCCTAATAGGCTCTAAATGGAATCATTAATGTATTGTGCTTTCCAGCCATTCAGCTTGGGGTGGTTTCTGCATTAATTACCATTTTTATCCCACAGCAACGTTACTCTGGTTTGTCCACATTCAGTGACCACATAAAATTAGATATAGGGCATCTCAAAGACAGTATTTGTTACATCCTTAGGGATTCAGGAAACGGGGTTAGTGTGAGGGTGGAATAGTGGGTGCTTGTGAAAGGATTAGGTCCTTCTCTCCCTGGAATGGTCTTTAATTTGCTTTCTAAAAGACCTTTTGAGCGTAGGTCATTCCTCTGAATCTAGTCCAGCTGACTAGTAGCTTTATATGGCAGAAATGTGTTGTTTTCAAAGCCCGGATGAACAGAGTTCTGTGAGGTTCAGTGCCCTTTTTCCCTGATCTTTCCAAATAATCTAATGTAATCACATGAGTTCAGCATGGTGGGTGTCAGGCACAACTGCCCTTGTGCCCTCACTATTAGTGTCTTGTCTACAGGGAAGGGGTGAGGAGCTATTTTCAGAGCTTCATTCCCCAGTGCTGTAAAATCCAGAATATTTCCTTGCTATTAAGTGTTTCAAACTTGCCTACTACTGAGTGTCTATACTTGCTACTTATTTTAGGCTCCGTTATTGTGGCTTAAAATCAGGGTGTCTTGTTTTTAATTTTTGCTTTTAAAAAATGCCCAATTTTCTCCTGAAAGCTATACTGTAATTTCTTTTTCTTTGCAAAGAAAAAATGAAAGGAGATTTCCTTTTAACACCTTGCCAGTGTAGGCAAAAAGGGCACATTTTGATATCAGGTGAGTAAGATTTCACAAATGAGCCTAATCCTTACTTCCCTATTTTAGAGGCTTGCATGCTTGCTCATCTGAATTATCCCAGTTGAGTATACCAATCACATGATTAAAAAGAAAATACCTGAAAAGTAAATAGCTGTTTCTTCATTTGCTGCTTTTATCTGATTTTAGAAAGTTGCCCCTACAATTTCTGCGGTAGCTTTGTTTAAGAGTGAGTAAAGTTGATTGAGTTGTTGGCAGGCTTAATAACTGGTTGTGACTTTGTCGAGCAGCAGTGCATTCAGAAAGTCTTGAATTAATCCAAGACTCGCATTTAGAGAGCAACCTATAGCCGCAATCAAGCGCTAGAAAGTTAATAGGTAACATACACGTTTGAACACAAGCTGCAGTGCTAGGAATTTATAAATGTAGGGCTGCCCGCAAATTACAGCCTGCAAGTTGATGCCTTACAGGAGGTTATTGCACACACTGAGTAGCAGCGACTCAAAGGGGGTCTCGGAGGATCTCAAATGCCAACGTATCCGACATATCGGGTGTGACAGGGCTGCTGCTGCTCCTTCCTCCTCGCTTACTGGCAGTGTTTACATGAATGACTTGTCGTCTTCTTTTTTTCTAGCCTCCTTATAGGATTTCTTTGCGTAGGGAAAAAGGCAGCGTAGGACTCGGCGGGGTGTATTCCTAGGAGCTGGAAGGAGGCGAGCCGGGACCCGGCAGCTGCTCCCGCTGCAGGACTCGATCTCCAGGCTTCCCGGCTGCGTGATCCCTGCTTCAGGAATGGCAGCCCTGCGGCAGGAGGCTGCCAGGCCCCGGCTGGGCATCGCTGCCCGGGGGGCTCTGGGTTGCCCGTGCTGTGGCCGTGGCTGTTCCTTGGTGCCGTGTCCGTGTCCCGGCCGCACAGCCATGGCACGGCTCTTCTGTCTGCATCTCTTCCCAATGGATCTGGGCGATAACGAAATCCCTGACTTCAGTTACATCCATCTCCTGCTTTGTAAGCTAAGGAGAGCTGCCTGCTGTGCAGGTTCCTGTTGACAAAGCCTCTGTTTTTTTAGAAAAATATTTGCCAATCCAAAAACTGTTGCATTTTCAGTAGTGAACAGTTGCATTCCTATGAACTCATTTTCAGTGCACTTTGAATGACACTTGGTTTTTCCCATGTATAAAATGGTGCATGTTCCCCTTCCGTGGCTGTGCTGTGCTTGTCTAGGATCCCATCTTGATGAGTCTCACCTAGAAAACAATGTGTGCATAACTTGTTGTTACAGACTCCTCCCGGCTCCCAGTGGGGCAGAATTCTTAGCAATAATAGGTTTAGCATGTGGCCCGGCACCTTTTCGGTATCCTTGGGATAGCATTGTTGAGAGGAAGCCTTGCCTGCGTTTGAATAGCACGCAGGGTGCCAGGAGGAAGGCTGGAGGAAAAGGAAACGGGGGAGCTGCTGGTTTGTCTCGCATTCACATCAGATGACAGGAAGTGGAAACTGCGGTTGGCCGCAGCGCGCGGCGGAGCCACATCTGTGCGAGGGACTCGCGCTCTCCATAGCCCAAGTCGTTGCCATAGTAAAGCTTTTCACACATGTTCGCACCTTCTTTTCCTTAAGGGCTTTCAGGTTTTCCATGACAGGTCTTCCTTCAATTCTGAAGCGCTCTTAGCTTGAAAACTGCTTGCTGAATAACTGCTCGTGCCCCCCACTGTATTAACCGTAACAAATCTTAATCAAAGCTTGAAATTTTTATTTATATGAGACTTTAGTCCTAAGATATTTCATGTCCAGTAGACGACTTGCAGTTGTAGAAATTATGTGCATGGTTTACCAGTTGTTTGCATCATCCAGAATTTAAAGATTAAGTGGAGTTGGCTCTCCACAGATTCCTGCTAGACTTCTTAAATGATTTTTTTTTTAAAGGAATGACTATCACTTTTCTGCCAAGGAAGTAAAGTAAATGTTATTATTTGAATGCAGAAGTTCTCAGAAGAAAAACAAAGTGTTCCTTTTGGTATGGTAGCTGCAGATTTTTTGTTGTCATTGCTAAACAAAGATAATGAGGATCATCATTGCCCTTCCACTAACTCTAATTGCCACAGGGGAAAAAACACCCTTAGTTCTAATGTTAAGGGCTTTATTTTCACATTGCTGAAATAGCATGTTGCTTTTGTTAGCAATATCTTTTTAGAAAAAAATATGAGGTCTGCTTCTGTATTTTAGAGGCTCTGGAAATCCAACATGTGGGATTCTGTGTGTTATAGATACATCACACATGTCCAATGTTGATGTTTTCACATGTGTGTCTCGTAGTGGTGGTGAGGGCTGGTTTATTGTGCGAGCAGCTCCTTCTTCTCCTCTCTTGTGTTCCTGCTTCTTGCCTTCCTAACTGGGGTTGAGGGTTCGTAGGACTGTGATGCTTTAGTGCTCCTTCTGTCCCGAAGGATGTAGGAAACCTTCCATAGTGCTCCTTCTGTCCTGAAGGATGTAGGAAACCTTCCATAGTGCTCCTTCTGTCCTGAAGGATGTAGGAAACCTTCCATAACCAATTTCCATGTGCTTATTCCCCTGGGCAGTGACTTGGCCCTTCTGCGTTGCTAGCCTGAATGCGAGCTGCACCTTCACCTCTTTCAAAGTGCACATCCTGAATGTCCACCGTGACCATCCTGTGGGATGACTCACATTCCTGGAACTTTCTTGCCTGCCTCCCGAAGCTTAACAAAGAGCTGCAGCCCATTTCGAACATCCTACCCAGCTTTATTAGGGAAAAATGTTGTCTGCCCTTCCCATTTGGGTCCTCACTACGGTTCCCTGGTGCTTTGGATGTCTTGGGACGTTGCCAGTCTTTCATTTTCGGACAGGCACACTTTTTTTCCAGTGTCTACCTGGCCTGTATGCACCTCCAGTAACCTGCTGAGCTTTCAGAGCCCCGAGTGTGCATCCCGTTGTGCATCCCGTTGTGCATCCCATTGTGCAGGCTGGAAGTCGGGCTGAGAGGCCAAGTGGCTCCTCACGCTGTACAGCTAATCAGGGGGAGAAGTTCTGTGGCACGTCAGCCACGTGCTGCCTGAGCCAGGGCACTGTTAGATTTCTGCTAGGGTGATGCTGGGACCTCTCTGATGTCTTTTATCTGGTCTGGTGCTGCAGCAGGGGTGGGACGAGAGGGATGACGCTCCAGCTGCCTGCACGGGGAGAGGAGACAGAGCTTCGGGCAGACACATCGGGGAGGGAGAAGGGAAACGTTTCAGGTTTTAAGTGGGTGTAATCGAGAAAGGCAAGAGGCAAAGGCCTCCCAAGCCTTGGGGAGGCATTACATAATTCTCCAAAGCCACCTATTAATAGATGTTCTCCTCTGTGCCCTCCAGCTGGCACTGCTGGGAGGAGAGCTCTGCACCTCGAGGCTTTGGAGTCGCTGCTCGGGGCAGCGCAGAGCTGTGGGTGCTGCAGGTGACAAGTGTGACAGAAAACTGCTCCTGTGACTGACCGTGAAACCTGGGGGGTTCTCCTCAGTCTCCTTGCTTCCCCCGTAGTGAGGGGTGCCATTAATGCCTTCTTTCCTCTTCAGATACCACCTTCTCAAGCTCCTTCAGAAGTTTGGCAAAGTAAAGCAATTTGACTTTCTCTTTCACAAGTCTGGTGCTCTGGAGGGACAGCCGAGGGGTTACTGTTTCGTGAACTTTGAAACCAAACAGGTATGTTGCTTTTAATGTAAAATTCTGATTTATATGTCTAGCTGCTTTTTTCCCTGACTTATGTCAATTTAAAGCTAAAACAGGAAGAGAGAACTTAAATATTTTGTCTATACCAGCAGCCCTGCTCTACCAGCTTGCTCTGAAACAGCTCCTGGAAGTAGCAATAGTGATTTCCTCTATCCTGTGCTGTCTTTTCCTGAATCCTGTTTTGTGATGCTAATTAAAAGGGACCAGTTCTCAGCCCTGCTTTGTTAGGGAGCTGGTTGGCTCCGTGAGCACACAAACAGCAACCTGTGATGCTGCCAGATGTGCAGCATGAACATCTGCAAGATGCTCGTCTGAACTGACCCTGACTGCTCTTTTTGGAGTTTAAGCTCTTGCTACAAATCAGAGCGTGCGGTGGTGCCAGTCTGTAACATCAAAGCTGGACTTCTGGTGTCATAATTCTGCTAAATTGTTTGAAAGCCCTAAAGAACAGGGGTTTTGTGCTTGTGTGCCTTCATCCTTTGCAGAGGAGCTGACGAGGGTGTAGGCAGAGCCCTGGCACAGCGCAGTGCAGTTCCCTTGCTGGAGCTATGGCTCATCCAAGGAGGAGCAGAGCCGCAGCGCGTCGAGCTGTGGGGGAACAGCCCAAAACTGAGCGGCTGCTGCTGGGGCTGGATCAGTGTCTGTGTGCAGGAATTCCTGCAGCTGGCTGCTCCTGAGACATGGAGTCACTGCAGTGAAGCTCTGCAGTGTTTTCCATAGAAGTGCTTATAGCAGACGTCCCCTCTGGAATGCTGCTCCAGAGCCCTCGGCGTTTGGCCCTTTCAAAACTCCTGACTATCTTCCCCATTTCCTCCTCACACCAAGAGAAAGAATCTACCTTGTTAGTTTATAAAAAGTTCAGTTATTCGGGTGGGTCTTGGAGTCTCCAGGGGATAGAATGGGGTAAACTTTAACTATTAACTGTACTTACACGAGACTGGCAAATAAAAAAGGGCCTTTCGCTCTCAGATGGATTTGACTGAAAACTTGGTTTTGTTTATGGAATTGCCTTCCTGTGCAGGAAGCAGAAAAGGCAATCCAATGTCTCAATGGGAAACTGGCCCTTTCCAAGAAATTGGTGGTGCGGTGGGCCCATGCACAAGTCAAGGTAAGCTTGTTGTAATATTTTTTAATATTCAAACCTACAAAATGTATTAATATCAAGGAACGATTCTTATCAGTTGCTGCCTAGCAAGGTAAATTTCAGTCTGTTCTGGGAAACAACTCTCATATACCTAAACTGTGCTGGATTAGCCATGGATTAAAAAGGACATGAGTTTAAAGGGTCTCTTTTTAAGGAGCTTCTATTCAGAGTTGCATGAACAAGCTACTTCAATAATTGTCCAAATTCCAACTTTTCCCAAACCTGACGATTGAGTAAAAGTTCATTTTCTGACACTGTATTTTGTTCCATTTTTGAAAGCACATAGGTGGTAGAAACTCTAGTTACTTCTGACTTTCAAAGCAACATATTTCACATCTAAAATATATTTTAATTACCATATTGCATAAACTATCAAGTTATTTTTTATATTAAATCAAGCAGTACTATCTTATGAGCACTGGCTTGCAGGGAGCTGCCTGCTGCTATTTACCTTTGGATAGTTTGCTTTTAACTTGTATTGATTATCCCATGTGCAGCTTTTGACCCTTTTCTTATCAAACATGATGGTGTTTTTCTTTTGGATGCTAAAGAAACGGGTACCTTTATTAAAGGAGACCATGTTGTTTTAATTATTGGCTTCAAGGGCTCCAGGCTCTTGTCAGCACATCCAAACTTGTGTAAATCCAGTCTCCGTTTTGTCGAGTCCTGTAAGTATCTGAGCGCCACGTGCTTCCGGATGCCTGAGGAATGATCAGGCCATAGAAGGAGTTTCAGCCAGAGGAGTGAGCGTCTGCTCAGCTGGGATTTCAGCAGGGTAGCCCAGTGCTCAGCAGTGCAGGGTAGACCAAGGAAGGTGTGTAAACACGTTCCGTTTGCAGGGCCCTCTCTAATGCACGAATGGAGAGATTTAACCAAGCAAAACTCTGGCTTTTTGTAACGAGTGTTTATTTTAGGCAATACCAGTACCATGCTTAAGTAGTTTTAAGATGAGCAGCTTAAGTAGTTTTAAGATGAGCAGCCAAGACTTACCAGGCACTGTCAATTTGAGCAGTTCTGCTGAGAAACAAAGCTGCTGTTGTGGCAGGCAAAGCAAGGAGGCAGCCACTGCGAGTGGTTCAGGAGGCCGCTGCCCACAGAGCAGACACTCGCAAGCTGCCGTCTGTACAGAGGGGATGGTTCCTAACTGCTCCTCAGGGTAGCTTTTATTCCAGCACTGAACAGTTCTGCCCAATTGAGTACTTGGGTTACCTACTGACTCTGCATAGTATCTGTATAAAGGATACAGCAATGCAGTGGAGTAATTTTGCCTTAAACTTTAACATCTTTGCTTTGTGCATTACAGACAGGGGAATAGAAAGCAATGGCTTGGGGTGGTAAGGCTTAAGGATCTGTAGTTTGGGAGCCTGCAGTCCATACTAGCACTGAACAAATATGAGTAGGACTTGTTTCAATGTTTGACCACCCAAAAGCTTCACAATATCTGAGGAAACTTTAAGCCAAATTTAAAGCACATCTGTTGGCAAATATTTCTTTGTTTGTAATTCTGATGTATTTTAATATTTGGTCTCTTACTTGCAGAGATACGATCATAACAAAAATGAGAAGATTCTCCCAATCAGTCTGGAGCCGTCTTCTAGCACGGATCCACCCCAGTCTAACCTCAGGTAAGAGGCTGGCAGGTGAGCTGAGGCCGGGGGGTGGGTGACAGGGAATGAACTTGCTGGATTTCAGTAAAATCTAGAGCTGGCATTATCTGTGTGCTAAATATCTAAAGCCACAGCCACTTCAAAAGGACAGCATGCTGCAAAGCACCTCATTTGATGTGGGATGCTTTGGAAACTTGATATATGTTTTATAATATGAAACTATGGGAGCATTTAAAGGAAAAGAGGTAAGACAAGGAACTGGGAGTGTGCAAGACTGCAGCTCATGCGGCCCAAACGCGCCGTGTGCTGCTTCAGAGCAATTCCAGGAGATGTTTTGCCTCTGGTCCCCAGCAGCTGTGGCAGAAGCATTGCACCAGGCTGACTGGGGAGGCAGCAATCTCAGCATGTGTCCGAAACCACATCCCTACCTCTCCTGCAATCTACAGCCTAGTTAGGAAAATAAGTCTTTTCTCCCCATCTGTCTGAAAGTGCTAATTCAGAAAATTACTAGCCAGTTCTTAACAGAAATGCTGGACTATAAAGGAGACTGAGGTTCACTGTTTCTTAGAGAAAAGGTAGATAATTCTAACCATCCCAGACTAAGCAGAAAGCTTTCTCTGTACTAATTTGATTAAGCAAAAATGCTTATGAGTGAAGATTTCTTTGATAACAGTAAAACCTTAAGACAAATTCACATTAGTAATTCCCCAACTCCTTTGTTGTCTGAACCAAGTATCCCTGGTTGTTGAGAGGGTATGTGAATTTTCCCTGCATTCCGTCGGGGGAATGCTATAAGGAAGCAGGACTGGGATAATTAATTGCCTGCAGAGAAAACAAGCTTGAAATTCGGAAGTGACACTGACAGTAGAAAGTAATGAGTGGAGAGACTTGAGTTATATATATGTATATCATTAGCTACATCCCTGGCACAAAGGAGATGTTTCAGTGAGGATGGATGTTTTACAAATCTGTACTGGAGAAGGGAATGTTCCTCCATGCATGCCCTTTAGAGGTTTATTAATAACAAAAGTCCTAGGAATTTGGGGTGTAACCTAGGATAGCTTCTCCCTTTGGGATAAACTCTGGTAATGTTGAAATAATGTTTCTTCCTGGTCTAATTAGAGTCTGGGGTTTTCCCATCCCGGGCAGTGCTGAGCTCGGAGGAAGTCTGGCTTTCATTTCTCGGCTCTTTCCAGCAGCCTCGTCTGAGCCGCGCTCTGCTGCGTGCTCAGACCTCCTTAAATTACATCACTTGCATGAAGCAGGGAGCTTTTTAGTAGCTTTTTAGTGTGCTCATCTGGCTCCAAGTCCTCAAGAAAGTGCTGAGTAGGAGCAAGGACCATTATTTTGTGGTGCTGTGATGGATCTCGGAAGATCTTTCCTAAGCAAATACATGCTCGTGTGGGAGAGTGTGGGCTGTAAGCAGGAGATTCCTGCTTCCCAACTTCATGCTGAAGGTCCAGACATGGACTGCCTAGAACTCCTGGTGTAACTGAGCATTCACATACCACCACCCCCCTGCCAAAAGCCTCTGAATTGCTGTACTCGCCTTGCTCACATGCCTGGAACAAGCTCAACTTCTCTTCTGCTTTTCCTTTCCAGTGTCAGTGCAAAAATAAAGGCCATTGAAGCCAAGCTGAAAATGATGGCGGAAAATCCAGATGCTGAATTTCCAACAACGCCTGTTTATTCTTACTTCAAACCACCAGATAAGAAAAGGACTACTCCTTATTCCAGAGCTGCCTGGAAATCCAGAAGATGATGCTTATGAGTGGATATGGTAGCAAGAAACACTGCTTTATATACCTGGAATCCTCCAACGCTTTTGTACTTTGTATAGGGAGAAGGAAAGTGTCACCTGAGCACAATGCCACTGTTTATGGCCCGGTGGTATTGACCCCTTAGGTGGTCTGCTCCTTGTTGCCAGTGTAGCTTCTCAGCTGAACGCTGTCCAGAAAAGTAGGTTCTGTCCAAAGCCTGTGGCGAGCACCCAGACAAGCTCTTGTTAGTGCACACTCAGTAGTGAGACTAGAAGCAGTAACCAGTGTATGGAGTAAAGCATATCCAAAATGTTTGGGTTAATTGATTACTTTTTGAGGTATTTTTAAACAAAGAGTATTCCACTTTGTGTTTTTTAATGGAGGGAAAAGCACTTGGTTCTGAGTGACATTCTGTAGTTACCATGGAATACTTTTTCTTTCATCTCAATAAAACTCATTTGAAGTGGATTTCTGCAGTAATTCTAGCAGCGGTGCTTTTGCAGTAGTTACACACACGTTCGTTTTGCCCGTGGTTTGTTTGCTTGAAGAAGGTGCCGTGACACACCACGAGCACCCGCCGGAGCGGGTGGCTCTGCGTGCCCGGAGGTCTCTCTGTGCAGCGGTGCCGTTTCCAGTGTTCCCATGGGGTAACCCCTGTAGTGGTAGTTCCTCATAAACCAGATGTGGCAGCGTGAGAACAGTGCCGCTCCAAAGACATCTGTCCTGCACGCGAGCTGGGCGTGCGCCCACCGCCCAGCCCCGCTGCTGCCTCTCGCTGCCTGAGGAAGGTGCCTGGTGCTGTTCCCTGGTGGAAGGTGAGTGGCACAAGCATTGCTGCTGAAACGGCACTGCCCTAGGAGCAAGGGTTCTCGTAGGGGGTGTTCAATTCGCAGGCCTAACGGATGGCATTTTGCTTAAATTACCTGATGGCCAGCGATGGCCATTCCCTGCGAAAGGGGAAGGTCTGGGGCAAGGCCGGCAGCGTTTGCCCCTTTGCGTGCAAGAGGGACGCTGGCCAACATGACGCTGGGCACAGCAGAAACTGATCCAATTTCTGCCAATGTCCCATTAGTCGCCCAAGTCCTTTCAGTGCCCTCGGAGGAGAGGAGAGCATCGTGTTTGAGAGCATCGTGTTGAAGCAGCTCCTGGTTTCCCCACATGGGTGTTGCCCAGGTCTTAGCAAAGTCAGCGGAGCCGTTTGCCTGTCCTGGGGCTGGAGCGCTTCCCTCTTCCCGGCTGAATGGCTGAATCAAGCGGTGTCTGTGTGTGATGGATGGGCTGTTAAAAGCCAGAGCTGATTAAAGAAGGGTCTCTCACTGTAGAATATTTGTTTCGTAATTTTCTTTAGGTACCTGCCTAAAGAGCAAACTTGTATCCCTTGGAGTCTGTACCCCTGTGAATGCTGCTTAAACCCATTTACATTCTGTGAACAGCCTGTGTTTTGTTGTTCATACCCGTTCTAACACCTGTGGTTGTGGGCATTTGTATCTGCAGTGTTACAAACTGTTGTTCCTACAGGAATTTAGGAAATCAGGCCTGCTATGTGGTTGTGTCCCCTTCAGAAACACTTTGATAATTGTTTTTACTTGAATACGACTTGTTGAAATTCTTACAGCTCTAAATAAACGTTCAAAATAGATTTTCTTCCTCCAGGAAAGGGAGGGTAAGGAGCAGGCACTGAGGGCTGGTAAAGGCTCAGCCCCAGCCCAGCTTTGCTGGCAGCTCTCAGGATGCAGCGGGGGCCCTGTCCCGCTCTGCCCTGGCCCTAGCAGCTCTGCATGGACCTGGACCCACGGCGCGTCGCTGCTCACGTCTGTCCCTGCCGTCCCCTGCGCCCTCTGTGCGTGTCCCCGAAGAGCCGTGATCTCCTGGAAGGCTCCGCACTCCCTCAGCTGCCGTTAATGGAGCAAAACCCGGGAGCTTCCAGCACCGCATCGGGGCGGAGGTGAATATGGATCACCTGGTGCTGCTCAGCAGGAGCGTCAGCACTGGGGCTTAAGTAGCGACCACCATAAAATACCTTTGAAAAGCCCCGGGCTGCTGTGCAGAGGCAGCGACAGTCCCGGCTCTGACGCAGGGGCCCCCTCTGTGCCTTTCTGCAGCAGAGGGGCCCGTTCGGAGCCGTCGCTGCGGCCGGGCGGGTCGCGCTGTCCCTCGGTGCGTGTCCGGGCTCCGGCGGCCGCTCCATCGTCCCCGCGCAGGCCGGGCCGGGGACGTGGCGCCCTGGCAGCCCCGCGGGGCCGGTCCGGCCCCGT